TCCATGGACGCCTTCAAGGGAGGCATGAGCCTAGAGAGGCTGCCCGAGGGGCTGCGGCCACCTCCACCGCCGCCGCACGACATGGGGCCGAGCTTCCACCTGGCCCGCGCCGCTGACCCCCGGGAGCCGCTGGAGAACTCCGCCAGCGAGTCGTCCGACACGGATCTACCAGGTAAGCGCGGCTCCCCGCGGCGTGCACCCAGCCTCGGCGCGCACCCAGCGACTTGGCGCTCAGCCGGGTCCCCTTTGCGCCTCGGCATTCAGGAGCTTTCTTTTTCCCCCTCGATCTCGACCTGACGGTGAACGCGGAAATTTACACACACGCTCGCACGCACACGCGAAACCACTTCCAAGCAGTCCCCATATGCCAAGCCCAGAGTGGGACTGACAGCCCGGGTGGAACAGGAGCAAATAGCACGCGCGAGGAAAAATAAAAAAGTGGAGTTTTCCCTAACTGGTCGCTGAGGAGCCGCAGGGGCGCAGGGCAAGCAGCAGACGGAGAAGGGAACGGAGGGGAAGGCGAGACAAAGTACCCAGAGAGACGCAGGAGGGCGGACACCTTGACAGACCGGGAGGTGCGGCTGGAGGGAGAGGGTCCTAGAGGAGGGTTGGGCGCACAGACCAGACCAGAAGACGAGGGTCAGTAAAACGGAGCTCCGGGGACAGAGAGAGCGAGCCTGACGGGAGGTGCGGCCTGACTCCGGGCAGGGCTAGAGGAACCCGACTGGAGGGATCCTGGCCCACGTGGACCCCACAGCTCCGAGACACCAGGGGTCCAGCCAGGGCGGGTTCTAGACTGACTTTACAAACTCCGCGTTGCCTTTTTCTTTTTTTTTTCTTTTTCTTCTTCTTCTTTTTTTTTTTTTTTAACCCAAGAGCTTGAGCTGGGCCCTCGGTTGGGCCGCTACGGTCGTGGCGGTTTCCAGGCCTATCTGGTCTCAGAGTGGCTGCAGTTCTCGGGGTCTCAACCCCGATTGGCCGCGGAGTTCCCGGCTGCCCGCTGTCCTCCGCCCTGGGAGTCTCTTCTACATTGATTTAATCTCTGTTTGTTTCTGTTTTGCATCTCTAAGTGACTTTCCCCAGCCAGTCTGTTTGCTTGGTTAGAAGACAAAGCTTTGACTGTACTTTTGTTTTCAAAAGTTTTAAATGTGGTGTTGTTTGTTCAGGGAAAATAAAACACTATAGTTATAGATTGGCTTTTAAATCAAATCAGCGGGGGGGGGAATTAACAATTTAACCGAAGGCGTCTTTGAAACAATTCACTAGCGCATTTCTCTGAAATTTAAAACACCTATGTGCTGCACGATTCTTGGAGAAATTTTTAAAAGTCAATCCAAAATGGCGCATTTCTCTGAGATTTTCTCAAAACCCATTTGTAGCAGTTTTATTTCGTGAATTTAAATTGTCTAGCAACAATGTATTTCTCTAGGGTTTGAAAATATCTACCAGGGTGTTACTATGAAGAGTCTAAAATTTATCTTCAATGATACATGGATTTTTTTCTAGAGAAATACCTATCTGACTGAAGTTTATACACATTTGGCTGTGTATTTAGTTTAGGCGTGTGTTTGCACGAACGGTTTTGACTCCTTGATTTACATTTGCTCTGGTTCTGTCTGTCTAGCTTTGAGGATTTGTGGACCTTTCTGTTTTTAGGTAGAGCGCTCTGAACTTTTCTGGGCTTCTGTTTTGCTTTTAAATTCCTTTTCTTTATATTTGAATGTTATTGATTGTGCGCATCTCCTGTAGCTTTAAAGAGATAGAGAGGCCAGGGTCATTTAGACACAAATCTGTCTATCTAGGCTGCAATTGGTGGATTTTCTAGACCTTGAGACCCGAGGTCGTTGTGGCACTGATGTAGCCCTGACAAGAAAACGTTTCAGGCTACTATCGGGTTCTTACCCCACAAATCTGCTAGCTTCAGCTGGAAAGTTCTGGTATTAGTTCAGAAATGCAGGGGTGCTCCGGTCAGATTTAGACCCGCCTGAGTTTCCAGGCACAGCGCTCCTTTGCTGGCGACCGGAGCTGCAGGGCCGCAGCCAGTGCGGGATACGGGAGCAGGCCCGGCCAAGCTGGGAACCCAGGCCCGGTTGGGGTTTCTGGGCTCTTCTCGGTGGCAACGCCAGCCCTAGAGGTGCCTACTGAGGACCGGCACCCGGCCGGCTCTTTTCCAGTGGGGGACCATTCCCACGGCCCCTGGGTGGGGGGTGGGAGGCAGTCACCTCTCCGCAGGCGCTTCGGTGGAGCCGGGACCGGGTGCGGTAGTGTTAGCCCGAGGTGACTCGCGCCCTTCCTACCTGCTGCAGACAAGGAGCGCGGCGGGGAAGCCAAGGGGCCCGAGGACGGCGGAGCCGGCAGCACAGGCTGCGGCGGAGCAGAGGACCCAGCCAAGAAGAAGAAACAGAGGCGGCAACGCACTCACTTCACAAGCCAGCAGCTGCAAGAGCTGGAGGCCACGTTCCAAAGGAACCGCTACCCGGACATGAGCATGAGAGAGGAGATCGCGGTGTGGACCAACCTCACTGAGCCGAGAGTGCGGGTGAGCGTGGGGCGCGCGTGTCCGGGCTACCCTCCCTCTGGCCACCGCTGGCGCGGCCCTCAGTAGCTCAGATTTAACTCTGACCTCGCAGGCCTCTCTCCCCCCTCTCTTATCGGAAACCCCACTTTAGGCCCCAGCCACCCGTGTCAGCTACTTCCCGAGTCATTTTACCTGACCCGAAGGAGCTACCGCAGCCCCGGTTAGAAGACCCTGTTCCCTATACCAGGGAACTCTGTCAGGTCCAGGAGTTACTCAAGGTCTGAGATTGGGCAGAGGAGTCTCTGCCGCTGAGGACCTCTGGAGCCTTGAGCCTTCACCCACTGGAAAACGAAAGGGAAAGGCAGGCGCGCATGACTGCCCCAGGAAGGCCTGAAAGGTGTACGGGGGTGTGGGGGGTACGCGGGGGGGGGGGGGGTCTCGAGCCTCTTGGAGCTATGGTCTCATTCTGAGTATACCTTCTCCAGACTGTTTTTGGGATATTTTCCGAGCTTTCCTGGCCAATCAGCCAGGCACTAGCTGGACCTTTGCCACTGTAGGTCTGGGGTCATGTGGAGTGGGGACTCTGGTAGCTAGTGGCCCTCCCACTCCTTCTCATTTGCAAGGTCTCAGACCCAAGAGCACACTGTATTCTGGCGCCTCTCCCACGGTTCCCAGCAAATGCTATACTTTCTTAAAAGAGGGATAAGAATATCGCTTCCCCCCCCCCACCCCGAGGTGGCAAATACTTAATCAGACCCTGGAAGCCCTTCTTGAGCCAGTCCAAAGTGCCACATAACCCACAGAACCCCTGCCATAAGCCCTGCTTTCAGCCCGCCCCAGTGAGGCTGGTCTGACCCAGTGGGACCCTGGATGCCGATCGGGCACCCTATAATTCCGAGCTCACTAATCCTGCCCAGGTTTATGGCAGTAGAGGTGGGGTGGGGCTGGGTACAAGGAATCAGAACCTGTGAAACCTGGGGTACAAGAGTTCTGGGCTGGAAAACAAGCTAGGTCGGGGGGGGGGCAATGGTGGGTAGATAGGTGAGATTGGGGAAGACTTGGTTGGGGAGAAAAACGTGGTTCTTACCCAATTTCTTAGGAGAAAATGGAGGTGGAGATTAGAGAGAAACTAGTAAACTTACGGAAATTAAATATTTGCAGAGAAACGTATTTGGAATATATTTAGGCAGCAGGAAAGAAATTAAATATTTAAGGGAGAGGCAAAGGGGTTGAGCATTTAGAAAAAGAAAGAATCAATTATTTAAGAGAAGCAGTAGAGGTCAGATATCTGGAAAAAGGGGATAAACTAAATATTTAGAAAAAAATCAAAATGAGGACAAAAAATAAAGAAAAAACAGACTGAAGTTTAGGTAATCAAGAAGTGAACAAAATTTTACATTTCGGGCAGGAGGAAAATTATTAAATATTGTTAATACATATGAAAAACAAACTGTTTAAACAATAGAACTCGTCTGAAAAAATCGGAGCCCATTATTTTCGGGGAAGGAAAATGTTTTTGTGTGTTTGAGGGACAAGAAAAAGATTAAATTATTTCGAAGAGAGCCGGTGCCCACTTGGAGGAAATGGTAGAAAGAGGACAGGGTGGGAGAGAGAGAAGGAAAACGAATATTTGTTCGAACAAAAGAAAATCCGAGTTGGGAAAAGAAAATCAATTTAACTTGGGGGGAATGATTTTTTTAAAAAGCGGGAAAATGAGGAGGAGGGCAAGTATTTTCTGGAGACAGGAAAGAAACCATTACAAAAACCTCAGCAGCGGGCGGAAGAAAAGAAGGGATGTTGGAGAGGGGGCAGCAAAGGCTCAGGTGGGGGTGAAGGCCCTTCCAGGTCACCGCTGCCCTGACGTTTTTGCCCTCCCCCCACCGCTTGCTTCCCCAGGTCTGGTTCAAGAACCGACGAGCCAAGTGGCGCAAGCGGGAGCGGAACCAGCAGTTGGACCTGTGCAAGGGCGGCTACGTGCCACAGTTCAGCGGCCTGGTGCAGCCCTACGAGGACGTGTACGCCGCCGGCTACTCCTACAACAACTGGGCCGCCAAGAGCTTGGCACCGGCACCGCTGTCCACCAAGAGCTTCACCTTCTTCAACTCCATGAGCCCGCTGTCCTCTCAGTCCATGTTCTCGGCCCCCAGCTCCATCTCTTCCATGACCATGCCGTCCAGCATGGGCCCGGGCGCTGTGCCCGGCATGCCCAACTCGGGCCTCAACAACATCAACAACCTCACCGGCTCCTCGCTCAACTCGGCCATGTCGCCGGGCGCCTGCCCCTACGGCACCCCCGCCTCGCCCTACAGCGTCTACCGGGACACGTGCAACTCAAGCCTCGCAAGCCTGCGGCTCAAATCCAAGCAGCACTCGTCGTTTGGCTACGGCGGCCTGCAGGGCCCGGCGTCGGGTCTCAACGCTTGCCAGTACAACAGCTGACCGCCCCGCCGGGTCCCTGGGGCCGCCGGCCGGCAAGGCGCAGGGGAGCGCGCGGAGCACCGCGGGACGCTCGCAGCACCGCGGACCTCGCCTCTGCGCAGCCCCTTCTTCCCCACCCTGCCTCCAGGTTGGTTTTGTGTTTGCTTTTCCGGACCCCACTCTGCCCCCAAAGAATAAAAAGGAAAGAAAGAAAACCAAGGGAAGGGGGAGAAAGCACAAAGACGTCGGAGAAAAATGCTGGGCGGGGGGTTGAGTTGCAATTTCCCTGGAGATGGCGCAGTGGTGTGTTCGGCCCCACGGGTCCCAGCTGTCCAGTCCACCAAGGGAACGAGGCTGGGGAAGCCAGAGCCGAGCCGCAGGGAGAAGATACCCTGGTCGCCTGCGTCCGGGCGGAGCGCCTGCGTCAGAGAACTGAATGTAGGGAGCCTGGAGGGTATGGGATCGTCCACCTGGTCAAGAACCGAGAGGCCCCTTTCAAGTGTGGCCTGGCCGAGCGCACGCCGGGCGGATCGCTGTTGGAGCGTGCCCCTGGCCCGCTCAGAGCTCAGCAGCCCTGCGGGCTCAGGGGGGGGGGGGGCGCACATTTCAGGCCACAGAGCCGCAGCTGGCGGTGGCCAGTCGGCAGCAGCAGGGGAAGGGCTCAGCTCCGAGTTTCCCAGCCCCAAGCTTAGCCGTCAGCCCGGCCCTCTGCTTCACTCTGGGTCCAGGAGGTGGCCCTCTGTCCCAGCGAACAGCCCCCTCCTCACTGCTCGCCCGCCCGTACAAGAGTCGAGCCAGGAGAGCGTGGGGCGGCAGCCCCAGGGCCCCCGCCCACTTTGCACACCCGCTCTCTGGCCCGCGCCCGTTTACAGCGTCCCTGTGTATGTCGGACTGACTGTATAGAATTATAAATCTGTCTATATCGACTTGTCCATGTACGTCTATTAAAACCATAGTCCGAGCGTGCTAAGCACCATTGAGCCCCTGGCTGCTTCATTCACCTGAAGAGGGAGGCCAAGGCACGGGGAACTGCGTCACCCTGACACTGTGGGGACGAGGGAAGAACCGGAGGCTGTCCAGACAGGAGCTTCCCACCCCTATTTCTGTGCCCCCTGGCCTCTCAGCACAGTCAGGAGAACTAGCTGGGATCCCTCTCCTTCCAAGGCAAGAACTCTGCCAGCCCTCAACCTGTGCGTTATTGATGATCTCAGTTTCCCAGGGTGTTCTAAGACCCTTGCTGACCTAGATCATAGGGGTGCACTCTCTGAGAACCTCTTTAGGGTTGGAAATGATTTGATCTCCCACAACCCCATCTCCTTGTCCCCCATGGAGCACAGATCAGGAGGACTAGGGTGGGAGGACCGGATGTTCCGGATTCTAGCCAGATTCAACCTCTGACTGTCCTAATGCCCCAGCTATATGCTAGCTTCCGCCCAGGCCCTGCGACTCTGCGGAGAAAGTGTCCCTTACCCTGGGCTCACTTCTCACTTCTCTCCTATCTTAACTCATGGAGGCTGCTGGCCGCCTCTGTCCCCCACCCCCAGCTTTTGAAAACTACTGAACAAGACCAGCCTGTAAACTGCCTGTAAAATTCTGCTTCCCTTAAGTAAGTCACTTCTAATGGCAAAACAAAATGCTTGCAGCTGCTGCGGGGGAGGAAGGAGGGGCTCCTGCCCTGCTTCAGTATCACCTTGTGGCGGAGATTGGCACTGCCCTGGAGCTGGACTCAGGCAAGCCCTGGCTGGGATGGGCACGGCCACAGGATTAGTCACGAAGGAAGAGCAGTCACAAACCAGGTCATCACCAACCTTATGGAACCCACGCTCTAGGAGTCTATAACTGGGCCAAGGTCACACTAAGCAAATAGGCCTTGCGATTCCACAGCCAGGCATCTTTATGGAACCCAAGCTCTAGGAGTCCTTAACTGGGCCAAGGTCACACTAAGCAAATGGACCTTGTGATTCCACAGCCAGGCATCAGATGAACCGTGGGGAGGCCCACCTTGGAGGATAGATAGGCCAGCTTCAGGCTGGGACTTGCAGTATGGGCTTCTGCTATATAGCCAGGGCCAGACACACAAGCTGGGGGAGAATAAGGGGAGGGGAGTTTGGGGCAGGGGGGCTGCAGCCTGACCACCCCTCCCCCAGCAGCAACCATCCCAGCTCCTTCTCTCACTCTAGAAACATAAACAAAATCCCATCTGGATTCACAGAGTGCTTCCCGCAGCCCTACACGTCTGCCATGCCCTGTGGGTCCTGGTCTAGGCAAGGAGGTAAGGGAGACCTAGGAGGTAGGGCTCTAAGAAAGGGGGCAGAGAGAAACCATCCCACCCCCAGCCCAGAGAGTCAGGCACTGTACAGGTGAGAGGGAGCCACTGCAGGGTGGAGAAACTGCTCTGGGGACCAAAACCAGCCGGCTGCAGACAGTGGAAGGTAGAGGTTGTCCTGTGAGGACCCCTTCATCCATCACGAATGCAAGGGCCTGGATCAGCCCCATGGCTGTTCTCGCTGAAACAAAGCACGCAGCCCTTTCCTAAGGCAGTAAACTCCAGGGGGCGGGGGTGGGTGGAAAAGACTGGGGTCTCTGAAAGTCATATCCTCTAAGGGGAAAAAAAAGTGGTTTGTTCTGCCAGAGGGACAAGGGAGGGGACATTCGACATTGACTGTGCTCTTGTTGGTAGTGCTAGGGACTGGGCAGTGGAGAAGAGGTGGCCCCTACTCTCCCAGACAAGTACACACATGTACAGTATAATTACAAAGGTGTTCAAGAAACACCAACGCTGTTAACAGGGGAAAAAATGGGAGTCCTGCCTTCAGCAGGCTGGTCACGCAAGGCTGTTCTTGGGGGTGGGGTGACCGGGGAGGGGCTCTGCTGTTATCTTTAATAATAAGGACTATACATTCATTGAACCCAAATAGATCCAGTGGCCTACACTGTATACACATCTCATTATGGAACCCCTTTGCCTGCACGGAGGAAGGGAGGAAGGAAGGGTCCTCATCATCCCTTTTCTCGATGAGCCCCCAAAGCTCAGAAAGATTGCCTCAGTTGGTGCCAGGATCAATTCAAAGTCAGTGCCGATTTTTTACCCCCTACACTGGGCTGTCCTTTGCCATTCACCAAAAGGCAAAGCAAAGGGCGAAACAGAACTACCTCTTCCTCCGTTGAGCAGTCTTGCTCTTCCTTAGCCCTCAGAGAGTGAGCACCAAAAGTCACCTACAGCTTTGAAAGATCAGAAAACAGGGAGAGACATGGAGGCCAATAAAGGAGAGCTAGACCTGATGATCTAATCCTTCTGTATACAACCCTGGAGTGCCGGCTCACTGAGGGGAGGAGCCTGTTCACTAGGGGAGGAGCCAAGCTACCTCCCTGGCTTTATGCTGCCCCTTGGAAGGACTGCAGTGTCCCTTGGGGTCACAGGCTTTCAAGCCTGGGTACCAGAGTTATCTGACCGGATAGAGGCGCCACAGCTAAACAGATTTGCCAGATGGGGTGTTATGCAGGAGTCCAGGCCCTGAAGGAGGCCCTGTGCTGTCTGTGCCAGAACCCGTCCCCATCCCCATCCCTATTCCCATCCCAGGTGAGATAACCCGGATCACCAAGTAGACTGGTGTGAGAAACAAGGGTTGGTGTTTCTAACCCTCTGCATTTAGGGGCTGGTTACCGGCCCCAGCATCCACAGGAACTTGCCCATTTGTCTTTGAAAGAGTTTGGGTTCTGGCCCCATAACTGAGGTGTCTTGGGCAACATATTAACATCCCTGAGTCTCTCTTGCCTCTTCCATAAAAGGAAAAGTCATTCTGCCCTGTTGTTTACAGAATTCTGAGACAATGCACACCAGGCTCCAGGGGTGCTGCTGGCACACATATCTCACTCAAGAAATGGGAATTATTGATGGGGTTTGCTAGTGTTGTCATGAGTCTATATCAGACACATCAGTGAAATGTCCAGAAGCGGGGTGTCCTGCTTCACTATGTCCTTTTGGCGTGAAGTAGAGCTTTTCTGCTGGGGTCCTTCCTGTTGGGGTGTGGGTTTGTTTAGTTGCTCTCTCTCTCTCTCTCTCTCTCTCTCTCTCTCTCTCTCTCTCTCTCTCTTCTTTTCTTTTCATTTTTAGAAAGGGCCCCACATAGCCCAGGTTGGCTTTAAACATACCATGCTAAGGATGACTTTGAACTTCTGCACCCTCTGCCTCCCGAGAACTGGGGATTACAGGTGTGTGCCACCACAGATGGCTTGTGTAGTGCGAGGGACCAACCCCAGGCTTCATGCACACTAGGCAAGCATTCTGCCAACCAAGCCACATACCCAGCCTGTGTTAAAAGTTTCTTCCTTTTTAAATTTTTATTTATTTTTATGTCATGTGCAGCCACATTTTGCCAGCATGTCTGTGTGAGGGAAGTCGGATTCTCTGGAACTGGAGTTACAGACAGTTGTGAACTGCCACGTGGGTGCTGTGAATTGAACCCCAGGTTCTCTGGAAGAGCAGGCAGTGCTTTTAACCACTCACCTATCTCTCCAGCCCCTCAAAGTTTCTTGACAGAGTTCCCCAGGGTCAGTAGATATCATGTGAGCCATTATTGATCCTCCTGCTGATCACGCTTCCCTTTCCCCTTCCCTTGCCAGGAGCCCTCCTGGTCTTAGACCCTAGGAACCCAACCTAGGTCTGGGGGTCCAGCTTCCTCACCATCTTCCACAGGTCCGGTCCTGGTCTGGAGATACCCAGAGGATTGAACCAGATTCAATCCCTGCCACCCACTACTCTGCTGGGAAAACATGAACCACAGAAACAGTTTCCTCTGGGGCTCCAGGCAGCCTGGGTTGACCTTACCTGGATACTCTGTTTCTGTATCGCTTCACTCGCTAGTTTAGGACCTCACTGAACATGGGCTCCTTACAAACATTTTGCAAGAACCCCAGCACCCGCCACCCTTAGTTTTCACAAGAATCAGAGGGAATCAGTAACTTCCCCAAAATAAGCCAATGAGTAAAGAGTAGAGTTGGACATGAACGCAGGTCTCCTGGTCAGGCGCTGTCCCTGTGAACTGTGCTCTGAGCTGCCATGATGTGCCTCGCACTTGTACTCAGGTGGGAAAAGAAACTAAAATGTTAACTCACTTCAGGAGGCTCTAAGCGCCCTGGGATTTGCTCTCCAGACCTCAGGGCAATGTGAGAGTAGCAAACAGTATAAGCATTGGAGACCAGAAAGCAAAGGACCCTGGAATA